TAGAGTATTCCTCTAATTAATGCACAATCCTCTCTGACTGCATTGTCAGAGTGATTAGAGCAGTTTAACGTGCATTGTAGATAATGTGGTTAAAACATTTGAGCAAACCACTACACATCACACAGACCATGCTTCTTTTTCACTTTCTAACTGGCGAACAAGATTATCAGATCCACTTTTGAGCCGTCTTTATTGCATCATTGCAAAAGCAGTTGAATTAGCTTTGATTCAACGCTGCTCGTACCTTGCTCAGAAAAAATAAAGAAGGCTTGTGTTACCTGCCCTTCCCCTCTAATGCTCATATCATTTTACATGCGACTTAGAGACTACTACACCCATGAGAACCAGCGTGAATATAACAGTGTAGATCAGGCTGGAGGGCACAGAGGGATTACAGCCGGCTGGAGTGGGGTGATATTGGCCACGTATGCACACATAAACCCCTACAATGTGTATATGGCAGAGTGGGTGGGGGTGTGTAATCGGAGATAGGAGGATTGACGGCTACTTATACGATGAACTGGGTCTCTATCGCCTCCAGTGAGAGGAGATGTGGCTGAAGGGGAGCAGTGAGGAGGAGGAAAAGAAAGCGGATCAAGGAATAAAAAGGTTCTTCTGGAATTGGACCCCTGACCTCAGAGTTGGTGTGTGCAGATGAGGTGGGATCCCACCCCTCCTGCTAAAACCGCCAGTGCCACCACAGCTCAGAGTGTTACCATGACGGTGGGGTGAGAGGCCAGCACACTTGCTGAAAAAGAAAGGAGGTATATTCTGACATGAGCTCAGATCCAAGTGCTGCAGTCTGTTTAGAGTGCATTCATCCCTTTGTCGGTGGTTGTGCCTGTTGGAATTTGGTCCTTCTGTTTGGGTTTTTTCCCGCCTTACATCCACGCTGCTAAATTCCAGGGACTTAATTTTTGTTTCCCTGAAGGTTTTTTTTTTTTTTTATTATATAGTTGTCAGCAAACATTTTCCGTTTCATTTCTCACTGATGGCTTCGTTTCTGGTGTTGCTTGTTTGTAGACGTATCACTTCAAATTGCTCGAGGTACTTGGCATTGTACTCCTTCAGCAAAAATTAGCAAAGAAGCGATTTCAAGCACAAACAGCAACACGCTGGTTTGTGCCTCAGTTAATGCTCTACCCCACTGTGTTTTGCATTGTAAATACCTGTGGCTTTATATTTTCGACCTGACATCACCATACCCACACTTCCACTTGTAGAGTTGTTTATATTTTGGACACTGGACACTAACTGGAAAATGATCTGGGAAAGCAAAAATAATAAACGCAGGAAATATCCAGTTTTGTATTAACAGGCAGAATAGAACCAAACACACAAACAACAAAAATAGTGTGCATGCATAATATATGTATAAATATGTGCATATATTTAGCATTTCTCCCCATTATCATCTCTTTCATTTTCCTTTTGGGTGGTTCTTTTTTTTTTCTCTCCCACTGATGCTGAGTGATAGCGGTGTCAATATTCACTCTGGGAGAGTGCAGTGATGTCATGAGATGAAACCGTCTAATTGGCCTGCTGTGAGGAGCAGTGGCGCAAGTGCATGTTGGTGTAAATTAGGTGATGGATTGCACTGTGTTGTTATCTGTACCTCATTTTCACACATAAAACCCTAACCCCTATCGCCTGTTTCCTGACTCTTCCCCCTAGTCACGTTCAAGCTATACACCATTTCCATGAAACCCTCCTTATCCTAACCGGGCTTTTATCTTTTTTTTAAAGCCCGAGTTTCTTTCTCATCAACTCTGCCTCCTTCTTCAAGAACAGAACCCCAACCATTAAAAGCACCACCCAAGAACTCACATTTACTCTATGCACACATACACACATGTGTGTGATTGTGCATTCACATGGATGAATGCACAATCACACACATTGGAATTGTGTGTGCACATGCACACACACACACACACACACACACACACACACACACACACACACACACACACACACACACACACACACACACACACACACACACACACACACACACCAATCCTTCTCTCTCTCCTAACCCCCTGGGGAAGCAAAGTCCTGCATCAGCTGCTAAATTGCCCAAACTCTCTCATCCCCTAATGGGCTACCTGTCTCCCTGCAAGTCTGCCTCACTGTCTACATTAATGAGTTTGTGTTGTCTGTCTGTCTGCCTCTGTGCCTTTTTGAATGTCTGATGTCTTGTCTTTATGTATGCTACTCGTTTTGTCTGTCTGTTTCTGACTGTTACGCTGTGTGGTGGCTTCTGTTCTCCTCCTGTCTGTCTGCCTGTTGGCTCATAATGCAACTAGTCTGTTTTTGTTTAGTTTTTTTTTTTTTTTTGGTCCTATATGACTGTTATGTTGAGGAATTCGTGCTCAGTATGTACACATCCTTCAAAGGAAATCTGTTCATGTACTTTTTGTGAAGCTGCTAAACCAACAGCAAATTCAAGTAAGAGAGCACTGCTTATATTTGTATTTGTGTTATTTGTTTTTTTTCCCTTTGGCACCATTTTTGACTGATGTGCTGTGCATGGAAAAAACTGTTTATGAAAAATATTAGCACATTATGAATTTGATGGCAGCGACAACTCTTAAAAAGTGGCTTTAAAAAGCTAGAAAAGCTCTAAGAACAAAAGAGGTGTCCAAACACGGCAAAGAGAATTTCTACTGCGCTACATGTATGTCATGATTTAGATAAGTGCGTGTGTTTTTTGGTATATTAGAATACAGTAAAGCCAATGTTTTTGTGTGTCTGCGTCCCTCATCTAATGCTGTTTATTGTCTGTCCATTCTTTGGTCTCTCTGTCAATGTGTCCCTCTAATGCGAATCTTTTCCATGAACTGTATCATAAACAGAGCCCTCTTGACATTTCAATTTCACTCATAACCCCATATATATAAACACACAACACACACACACGACATCCATTGCTGAGCATCAGTTCAGTGGCAGGCCTCTCATGGGTTTCCACGGAGACAAGGAAAAGCAATAACTGCACACTTGACCCCTCTGCTCTTTTATTGGCCTCTTCTCCCCTTCACACACACATAAACACAAAAACACATACACACCTCCGATCTAATCTGAGAGAGTGAGGCTCCATGGTGATATTCCTCCATCTTCCCTGGAGGATTGGAGAAGGAAGGCAAAAAAAAAAAATGGAGAGAGGCGTGGGGACTGGAGGAAGTTAATAATTTCATCTTGCAGTGACCTGGAGACGATAAGATTGAATCTTTGGCTCTTTGTATCTCACACACACAGTCAACCCACTCTTCACACAGAGATCATCAGTTTCCCATCCTCACTCGCACACACTTGCTGTCTCTGCTTGCTTCCCTGTCGCACACAACAGTCTTGCTGAAACTTTATGACTGTGGGGAATGAACAGAGGAACTGTGGGCAAGAGGGAAAAAGAGTAATTGAGAGAAAGTAGATGAAAAACACTGAACCCGAACGGAAGAGAGGCTGACTGAGGGAAAATATTAGGTGGAACGACAGGCTAGCCTTAGTGACAAGGCTGTTTACTGTTTATTTTGGTCTCTAGTCTCATTTCTCTTCATATTGGCAGAGGCAAGATCATTTCCTTTTTACTGTGTTTACTCCTGTGTGGTTTTCTCTTGCTTTGTGCAAATTTGTGCAAGCGTTGTGCACACACATTTGTGCATGTGCATCCTCTGTTTTAATAATCTCTGGTCGCTTGTCTGACCTCAATCTTTCCACAATCATCATTTCTTATGGTGTCTTCACATTACCCACGCATCCCAGTGTGGGATTTCCCTTGTTTTTATCTTCCTCACCTAAGCAAATAGTAGAGTACTTTAGCACGTAGCATTTTCATGATTTAGTTTCAATTTTTTTTTTATGTTATGTAAGTAAAAATGAACGTAATCAAACACTTGTCATTTACTGTAAAGAAATACGTGACTTTGAAATGTGAATCATGTTCCATTTGTTTGTGTAACGCATTTGTATTAATGTGTGGGGTTTGTTGTAATATTGCAGAAACACAAATTACTTCCTGAGTGGCTGCACTTCAGGCTGCACAGACTAAAGCAACGTCTCTATAATACATAAGAATAATAAGAGCTCGCTCATGATGATTTCTTCCTCTTAGTAATCAGGTCAGGGTCGATCGGATTGTTTCTGCTCAGTGTGTGTGTGTGTGTGTGTGTGTGCGTGTGCTGTTTGTGTGGGAGGAAGCACACAGTGATGCTTCCCTGGAGTGTTGGCTTCTGTAACACCAAGTGTGTTTTTGTGCATGTCTGCGTATTTATGGAAAAGATGCTTTGTTTAACCGTACACCCATATTACATTATCATACTATTTAGATTATACAGTTACTTGTATTCAAATAACTTTTGAAGAATGGCTGAAGTACTGCACCTCATAGATATATATATATATATTATATATAATATATATAGATAATAATATATCAGATATATATATAGATCTATATAGATAGATATAATAGATAGATATAGTATAAATAGATATATATCTAGTATATAATATATAAATATTCATATTCTTTTTTTTACTATTGATAGATATCATATAGTATATATAGTATATATATTATAGATAAATATAGATATATATAGATAATATATATGATATATATTGATATATATATAAGATATATATATATTAGATATATATATATATACTACTATATATATAGTATATATTATATATATATAGTATATATATATATAGTATATATATAGTTATATATATATGTATCATATATAATATATATATATATTGATATATTATATTGTATATTATAAGTATTTAATATATAATAGATGATATATAATATATATTATATATATGAGATTAGTAAATAAATCTTAATCTCTGTGGGGTTTTGCCAAATAAGACATGTATAGACTTTTCCTCTTATCTTTTTTTCCCATGCAAGTACATTGTACAAGCTACAAGTTCACCCCTAACTGATGTCTGGTTTTCTTCTCTTGTTTTTGCTCATACAGTTCTCTAAGGAGAAGTACCTGCTGGAGTCTCCTCCTGAGAAACTCCGCAAAGAACTAGAGGAGGAGCTGAAACTGAGCCCTGCTGATATCAGGAGCCATGGCTGGTACCATGGACACATACCCAGAGAGGTAAAAACTTCATGAAGCACAATGTAGAATCTTTATACTTGCAACACTGAAAGTCCCGAATATATGCATGATAATATACTGGTACATAAATGTAACTAAAAGAATGACTCATACATGTAAGGGGTTGCCTACTTTTCATTGTCAATCCATGCAGTTGAAAATTGACTAAACTGATTGCCAGTTTATGAAGGTGTGCATTTTCCTCTGTGAGGAACGCACAGGGGAAAATGCACAAATCAAAAGTCTTTATTGAAGGTTTTTGTTGGTTTTTATTTTGGAAGGTTATGCAAGTTTTCCTTTATTCTGGTTTATTACTTTTTTAACCTTTAGACGGATCGCTGTTATGGGCTGTATATTTTATTAGGAACATTATATTAACAACTTATTTCCCCCTGGTCTTGCTCTGTTTACGGCATCATAGTATGTCTCAAGCTGCAAATGAATAAAACTTGCAGTATTGGGCTTGCAGGCTGCATAAAATCCTACCAAGAGCCATCACTGCAGCATCACTGGCTGCACTTTGAAGACCCTTTGCTTTTGGGGTTTTGTACTAACCGAGCAATTTGCAAATTTCACTTGTGCATATTTATTCTTATTGTATTCTAATTTTTGCCTCATAACTTTTGCACTGTCCACTTCCTGCTGTGACAAAACAAATTTCCCACGTGTGGGACTAATAAAGGTTATCTTATCTTATCTTATTTGAACTCTTAATTTGGCAATCCCATTGTGTGTTTTGTCCACCCAATCAAAAGTTTAAAAAAAAAAGAAAAGAAAAATTTTAATCCACGTTAATCCACAACTTCTGATGCACTACCTGCACACCGTCTCACTGTTTGTGATAACTAACACGCTCAACTGCAGAACCTGCTTTAACTGTTGTGTTACAAATTAGTGTTCGAACTTTAGCTTACCTTCTGTTTTTGTGCTTTTATCAGGGACAGAATCAAAGCAAAGTTTCCAGCAAAGATGCCTCAAAGATTAGCTGCAGCTTGTAAACTGACTCGCTTTGATCACACCAAAGCTGTTTTGACTACCCTGTTTAAGAATGGAGTTATTAAGAAACCCTCTATGATATGATTGAAAAAGTTTTGATTCAGGCTTCATGCCACAGCCTCTTAGATGCGTAGTATGAATCTTTCTTCTTCTTTTTTTTTTTTTTTTGTTGTGGGTTGAAGTGGGTTGTCCTCCAGTAGTGTTAGTTGAGCGATTACTTGGCCAAAGTTCTGGCTTTGAAAGCCCAGTTTAAATGCTTTACACACAGAGTGACACTGATTAATGAATCCCATCATCTGTCACAGCTCAGTAGAAATTGCTTTAGCATTGAGGAGGAGGAATCTCTGCCAAACAGACAGCTGCGCGTGTTGCTGATGTACGCAATTGAATTTCACAGCTGGTGACTAAGACATAGATACAAAGAGACACACAGCCACAGACTCTGATGCACTGCATGCACATGTGGAGAGTATTTCATAGACGACCTCTGTCTCTTGATAAACCTCTGTGTCTTTTTCGCGCACGCACACGCACACACACACACACACATAGAAACACAGATTCAAATCAACCATCTGTGAGTCTTTCCTCTTTGATTTACATAAAATATTCATTTATTCATGGATTTACCCCAGTGTAAACTTGGGGAAACCCCAGCCCCCTGCTTACAAAACAATGCCTAGTGGATAGATCTCAGGCACCCTGTGGATGGTTACTGTACATTAGCTTTCATAGATCCCGTTCCTCCTTCTTGATCATCTTCCTTTTGTTGTATTCTAGTTTATTGCTCAATATGGCTTTCCTTTTAGACATATTTGTTAATGTCCTTTTAAATCTATACTGTTGGTATGTTTGAAAATGGTAGAGAAAGAATATTGTGCCCTTCTGTTGAGCCTTTGACCTGTGTTTATACTGCCTCCTGCTGGTATCTGACACTGCTAACCCTGGACTGTGTTGCCTTTCATATTCTGTGCCTTGATTTCTTTTATTGAATGAATTTAAAGCTTTGCACATTCTGCTTTCTCTCCCTCCTTGAAGGCTGCTGTAAAGGGAAAACTGCTGAGTTTGAAATTTTTTTTTCCTTCCTGTGTGGCTACTAGATCAATATTTGTGATTTCTTCTCACAGAATCCATCTGCAGTGTTTAGTAACAGCAAGATGTACAGCCCAGAGGTGTTTCACTAACACTAACAATGCTTCTGGATTGCTTGTTTTGTCAATAAAATTTAAGAATAACTTTCTTTTTATTTTCTTTTTTCTTTTTCTTTACAAATAGTGCTGAACTCTGAAATGCATCTTAAGAAAATCAATTATTTTATCCTTCATGGCGAAATCAAACTTTCCTTAGCAGCACGGCAGACATGTTTGGCAGCTAGACAGATAGTTGTTTTATTTTCAGGAACACAAACTGTCCTAAGGCATTGTTATAAATAATCACAATCCTCTAAATTCAATTGTTCAACAACCAGAGTGTCAGAAACTTAACGTTCACGCACAAGCTGTAGCTCAGATCAGTGAGCTGTCTTGCTTTCAAGCTTAAAACCATCCTCTCTGTATTTTTTATTTTTTTTTTCTCCATCTATAGGTATCAGAGACTCTGGTTTTGCGCAATGGAGACTTCCTTGTGCGCGATTCTCTGCTCAACGTGGGTGACTATGTTCTGACCTGTCGGTGGGATAATGAGGTGCTACACTTCAAGATTAGTAAAGTCCTGGTGAAATCCAATGAGACCAAGGTACATGTTCTTCTTTTAGGGGCTTAATAATCGGCACTGCTTTAAACATCATCTAATCCCTGTTTACTTTGTTGGATTGTACTTTAAATGTCTTTTTGTTTAGTCCTCGAAGATCAGAAAACCACAAAAAGCTACCACTGGTCTTTTAAGTTGCATGAAGTCCCTTCATGATGGTAGCAGCAGAAGCACAGGCGTAACTAATAACATTAACAATGGCTCTGTTACACTTAGATGCCTCAGTGAGTTTTCCCACTGAGTCAGCATGCACAGTACCAGTGATGGCATCAGAATGGAATCCGTGCATCCATCTTCAGTGTTGTTTCACCCTTGTATGACCTGCGAATGTGTCCTCTATCTTTACCGGTTTGGCGCCTTCCTCCCATTTTCAGCTCAACTAAGAGCACCGTCAAACCTGCGTGCAAACAGTCGTGTTGTACCTGCAATATTAATCTGAATGGTGTTTTTGTAGTTTTATTTGTGTTTATGTGCATGCCAAATCCATCCATTAGAAAGGCTTATTTTCTCTTGCTGCCTCTAATGACTGAGATAATTACATGTGGAGGCTAATTTGGCACAGGTGTGCCTTGTTGACCAGCTGTGCCTCTGTTAGTTTTTGTTTCCAAGCTTTAATTGCTACACCGCTTATTGATGTCTTCTTCTTCTTTTGAAGCACTTACCAGCTTCTTCTACGCACTGTACTTTGAAAGGTGTATACACTGAATTTTAGAGGGATAGTTGGCTTTTGTGCGTGACACAATTTCTTATTTCTTCCTCTCCAGGTGCAGTACATGTTGGAGTCTGATAGTTTCGACTCAGTACAAGAGCTTGTGCGGTTTTACGTCGGTCAACGCAAACCGGTCTCCCAGTCCAGCGGCGTCCACATCTACTGTCCAGTAAGCAGAACTCTCCCTCTGCGCTACCTAGAAGCCACTTTTGCCCTCTCCAACAGCAAGCAAGGCTCTGCCTACTCACCGTCCAGTCAGAGGGGAGCGTACATCAAGAGGAGGAGTGTCACTATGACCGATGGGCTGACAACTGAAAAGATCATACCTCACAGGTGAGCCGAGTGATCCGGGAGTCAGGTCGGGGTTTAAGCGGAGATGCTGTTCAACCCGCAAACACCCCCTGCTGGACAGATGATAATAAAATCCTGACGATGTTCTGCAGTCTTGTAACGTCATTGTTGCTTTATGTTATATACACGATTAGTGACTCAGACAGTCCAAGTCCAGTTGAGACACCAGTGGCAACACCAGAACCAGAGCCGGAAACTGTGCCCAACTGCAGGTTGTGTGTGTGTGTGTGTTTGTGGCACTGGTGTTGTTTTTGAGCACAGAGTTAGTGCACTTACCTTTCACATTCCTGAAGCCCCCCACCCCTCACTTCACTGACACCATTAGCACCTCCCTAATAATCAGAGTGAAGCTGCCCACTGTCTTATTCAGTCCTGCACTGGATCAGTCAAGTTTCAGCGACAAAGGGTGTTTGAAACTTGAAATTGAATCTACCAAGGAGGAGCAGACAAATACGTTGTTGTGTACAGTGTAAAAACATGTTGACCTTATTTGTATGAAATGGATGTAAGGCACATTGGATAAAATAACTGTGTTTGAAAGTGGGCGTTACTGTTGATAACGGTTTTAATTGGATATGAATGGCGATTGTGAATCTTAAACGTTATTTAACTATTTTTTTCACCAGTTTAGAAGAGATTAAACTGTACTCCACGTCTTTGCTCCTGCTTAAGTCACAAACTTGATTTTTGCTCAGAAAATAACACATCTATTTATCATGACGACTAAAACGTCTCCCTTTTCTCTCACCAAGAATAAATCCGTACATCCTTAACCACACCACTCCTGTCATCTGAATCTGAGCTGCACTGCTTTATGAGGTCCCCTATATTACCTTAGCATGATGTTAGAGATGTTAGATTTTTAACATCTCTTTAACATCTCTTTAAAAATGCTGTGTTTGCAGCCCGTCAACGATCCACCACCATAAAGACGCAATGCGGAACTGTGCAATGAGCATGGACCAGATTCAGGAGTATCGTTGCCCCTTGTCACCTGTCGGGGAAACCCCATTGTCTCCGGCGTATAGTGCTAGTAAGTAACCAGGCAGTCACAGACTCAGGCGCATAAATAAAACATAATCATGTTCCCTAACTCACTCAGCGGAGTTTTTAAGGTTCCTTTTTGCTCTCTCTCCGTTTCTCTTTAGTCACCAGGCAGAGAGCCCACTCAGGTGGGCGGGTCCTGGCTGTTGTCCCTCCCTCCCCTGTGATGCGTCGCTCCAGCGACCCCCAAGTCAGCCCCTCAGCCAGTGACAACCCTCCAGAATTTCCCCCACGTACCTCTCACTCAGCACACTCCGCACCGGCCCATCATCCCAACTACCAATCACATTCTTCAGAAACAGCAGGGAGCTACTGTGACCTCAGACCTTGTCCTTCTGGGCCCCCCAAACCACCAACTAAAAGCTACGTAGAGCGATTGAGAGTGGAGGAGGGGACAGTGGAGGGAGCAAGAGAGGAAGGAGAGGGGGTGTTCAGCGCCCCACAAGTGGAGACATCTTCCTCGTTTAAGCCATCCAGGTACGAAACAATAAAGCCAGCCTTCCAGATTTGTATTTCATGGTGTTTCCATATTGTATATTATATGACGAGGACATACTCCATACTAAAATGCATTTGTGAGTTTTATGATTTGTCTTATATTATTGCTTGTTTTGAGAGGAAAGGTCATGACTATGATTCGGTTTTTAGTTTTTCATAATTCTTAATGAATTATGGCCATAGGACGAAGAGTAGGCACAAAAAATGTGAAATATTTTTCTCTGTTTGTTATATGTTGTGTTATATGGCTAGATTTAACATTTGGACTGACAGATATATCAACAACTGCAATGTTTTAGACCTAGCCAGAAGGCAGCTGTTACATGAAAGGATATCAAACAAAACCAGCTTATGTGTTACAAGTAACAAGCAGGGTGAATAGCCAGCCTATCGTGTGGTCAGTATACAGTTAAGGAATGTTGAAGAATATTCTGCTCAAAGGGCAATACACCTGCTGACATTTAGTTATAGAGTGCGAAAATATGAGTGAGTGAGGAAGTTTTGACAGGCTCTGCAGTAAAGCCATGAATGAACGGAGTGGAAAACAGGCTTGAGTAAGCAACTGATAATCCTGTGGGGAAACAGCCCGAGGCCAGGCTTTATGCTCTGGTCATAGACGCAGCAGATACTGTATTTCATTGGGCTTGCGGTGCCTTAAGAGGACACAGCAGATGAAGCTTGTAAAATGAAAATGACAGGATGCACCGAGTTGGCAGTACCTCTGGCTATCCTTGTGTCCCCCTGTGAAATTCTGGTGCAGGGGGAGATTTGCTAAATTGGTGTGAGCAATACTGGGGAAAAATGGCAGGAAAAAGCTGCGGTTGTTTTGGACACATCACATCCCATGTACCAGCTGATATTACAACAGTATACTCAGATTGCTAATGAGGATGGTCAATATTATGAGTACATGTATTGGTGTCAGCAGATGATGAGCATGAAATTGCACAGCCCCCATGCTCTATGTCTGTGCTCACTCAGGGACCATTTTTGCTATTGAAGGCACTAAATTCTATTAGGTTACAAACTGAGATACCGGCGTGAGCCCCGTAATCAATTTAAAGTCATGTCCTCTCAATCTTTTTTTTTAAACAAGTTGGGCCTCTTCTGGTATCCTCGCTAGTGCCCGTTTCCTGTGCTGCCTTGGTATTTTCTAATGTGGTGTAATCGTTCTTGTGCAGGTATGAGTCTTGCCTTATGCCGGCTGAGAATAAGCCTCTGGAGATGTCTGTACTGAAGAGAGTCAAAGAGCTGCTGGCTGAGGTGGATGCAAGGGCTGCAGCTAAACATATTACCATGGTGGACTGCACGGTATGAAGAAAATACAGAAATAAATACACGCAGCTAACGCAGCAAGCTTAAACTTATAAGTTAAACATAAATGCATACTGAGATGCATATTACTGCCAAAGATTTATGTACCAAAATAAACATGCATGTAGCCCAACAGAAATATAAGCATAAAACCGTGAACACACTTTCTTCTCCTTTATTTGGCAGGTTGCTAGAATATTAGGTGTAACCCCAGAAATGCAAAGGATGATGGGAGTGTCCTCAGGGCTTGAGTTATTGACTCTACCACATGGACACCAACTGAGACTTGACCTACTGGAGAGGTGCAGATGCTTTTTCTTTTTCTAACATCTTCCTTTATGCATCACTGAGTAACCCTTTCATTAATCCAGCTATTGATTATCTTTTTGATTCCATTCTTATTCGTATTCTGTAAATCATCGCCTTCAATTACTCTGATTTTCTGCTGCGCTCCCCTTGTTCCTCTGCTTCCATAATAAATATTTCTTTCATGAAACAGCATGGGAATGCAGTCAAACTTGTTATAAAGCAAAATGTGAAGCATCACACTACGCATTACAGCTCCCTTTTGCTCAACTATAAGTCCCATTCTAAAGTTTTTGTAAAATTATTTAGAGTACTTTAAATAATAAATTTCTTCTTCTTCTTTTAAAAGGCTCCTTCAGATTATTCCAACTCACTTCACTCGAGTGATGTGAATTCAGGATGGCTTTAATAGACCTTGACTTGCCTCTGAAATAAGTGTTAAACAAATAAACTTTGTTTCTCAGGTTCTACACCATGTCTATCATGATGGCTGTGGACCTGCTTGGCTGTACAGGAAGCACGGAGGAGAGGGCGGCCCTGCTCCATAAGACCATCCAGTTAGCAGCAGAGTTGAAAAGCAGCCTGGGCAACATGTTTGGTTTTGCTGCTGTGATGAGAGCTCTGGAGCTCCCGCAGGTAAGAGAGTCAGAAGCCACCGTCGTTGGCGTGGAAAATCCGTGAAGGCTAGTGCCAAACGCATTCTAATTTTGTGTCTTACACTCCCTCAGATATCCCGTCTGGAGCAGACATGGGTAACCTTACGCCAAAGACATACAGAGGGAGCTATTCTATACGAGAAGAAACTCAAGCCTTTCATGAAGAATATAAATGACGGCAAAGGTGAGATTTCTGTGGCTGGTTGGTCTTGTACAAAAATTCATCGACAGCACTAAAGTAAAACTATTCCGTGCTTTCAGAATCCAGTGCTCTGTCCAACACCACCTTCCCTCACATCATTCCCATCCTGTCTTTACTGGAGCGTGGTATGGCTCTTGGGGATGTACTGGAACCCTGGGAGAGTGCAGAGGTGGGAGTAGATGTAGTCATGTACCACCTAGAGGCAGCTCGCACCATCGCACATCACGGGGAGCTCTACAGAACCAATGCAGAGACGAAATTACAGGGTAAGAGGAACCTATATCCAGTCCAATATTTTATTTATGTTCAGGTTTCTGCAAAACTAATGACATTGTAGCTTTTACTGCAGGATGTAAGTTTTGACTAGTGGGTTAAGTTAATTGCAGTCACTCACAGTGGACCTTTCCTTTGTGTTTGTGCTGTAGTTGATTTTTGTAGGATTTTTAAGACTTATGTGACAAATTTGTTGGTGCTATAGCCCAGTGGCGTAATAAATATATGCCGTAGCCCTTGTTTCCTGTCAGTAATCAGTTGGTTGTTGCCAGCTTGACATGTTGTTACATCTCGATGCGTTGCTATAAATGTGTGTTCAGTGTCACAGCATCACTGTGATGTAATAATCGTGTGTGGTTGCTACCATGCAGACTGTATTGACCTCTTAATATCCCTCCACTGATTCTCAGTTTGAATCAGTTACTGCATTATCGAACAATCTGTCAATAGCTATCAGTTCACATCTGTTTTCCGTTATTCTGCTATTGATCACCGTGACCTCAGCTTGCTCCTTTCATCAACAGTTCTGCAGACCAGAGTGGAGATGCTTATTTCATGCTGTAAAACTTAGTTCAGCTTAAACATTTTATGGCCAAAATCCGTCTCTAATCCATTTTACAGGTTAGGGTTTGGGAGTTGTACTTCCTTTTATTAAGCGCTGGGTACATTTACGTTGATTTCCCTGTAGACTTACTGCAATGCGTGGAATGATCATTAATCGTGGAGAATTCAGCAGCATCGGCAACGGAAGTTATCGGTTGTCAAAGCACCAGTTTTAGAGCTCTCAGCCTTGTCTCACAGTCTTCACCAGCAAAAAGAACTGGCTCACATGTTTGCAAAGTCTGTCATTTGGTATTAACTGGTCATAAACGGTGGGGACTGGGTGGAACTCTCTTAGGCCATTTTTAAAAAATTGAGTTGTGCTTCTCTGTACAGTTTTTCCATCCATGTTTTATGTAATTAAGTTTTCACATTTTACTTTATTTGTGATTTTATTTATAAATGCAGTTTATATTTTCATTCACAGTTTATTGTTGATGTGGTTGGGTTACATATTTAAGTTTGCAACAGTAAAGTTTGTTAGATGCTTTTTCTATAAGTTACTTCCTCTCCTCTCCAGGAATTCAGGAACGAGCTGAAATACATGACATCTTCCAGACGGAGTTTCAGATGCGTCTGCTGTGGGGCAGCCGTGGCTCTGAGGGCAGCCAATCGGAGCGTTACGAGAAGTTTGACAAGGTCCTCACCGCCCTATCACACAAGCTAGAGCCTCCTGTGCGTCACAGCGAGCTATAGCACCTGCCCAGACAAACCTACAGGGCAGGTGCTTTAGTTTACCGCTCATAGTGGTATGGCCTTGTTTTGCATTGCAAAGGATGGTGTGGGAGTGCTCAGTTTGGACACTGAAAAAGGTGAGAGTGAAAGAAGAGGCAGCTAAAAGAGTATGTGCAGTGAGCAAGAGGAACACGGAAAGGGTCTCGCTGGCAATGTGTTGCACTCACTGTGGATTTAAAAAGAGGTACAGAGTCTCTTATGTTCCCCTTTGTGGACTTCCTCACTTACTGCTGAAATATTCAAATGAAAAGGGAGAAAAGATAATCTAAGCGGAACAGAAGATGGAGCAGAAGGGTGACCAGTTTTTCTGGTACAACATTTACACTGTGCCAAACCGAGGTGCAGAATTTGGCTTTGCTCCTGTAAAACACGGATACTCAACTGCTGTCTCACACTGTAGCCAAACTTGCATAGCTCATGTAGATGTTTAGTCTGTGCGAATGAGTGAGTGTTTGTCTGCTGGCAAGTGTGTTTGCATTTCTTCGTTTTTGTATGTCATTAAAGTTTCATGTCTGCTTTATTTTTTTTTGTCTTATTTATTCATTATGATCAAAGGATATCAAAACATTATGTACATTGCTTCATGAAACTGAAGAGAATCTGTCAGTGCTCATTCTGAGGGAACCCTGCTCATAAAATCTCATGAAATATGTATCATGCAGTCCCACTGAATCCCATTAAAAATGTATCAGGCATGCATTAATAAATGTACCAGAAATGAAACATTCACACAAGTTATGCAGCAACTTCAATATGAGGGTTTTGTGAGTGGTTAAAAACATTAAGAGGTCAAGGCAAGCTCCCCGAGTTGCCTGTTTGACTTAGCCTTCTCATATTTTCTGTCCTGTGCACCAAAATGAGCTAAAACAGCATTACAAAAGACAAGAGAAATGTAGCGTTTACATTTTAAATTGAGTGAAATCAATGTCTCAGTTAAGATGTAAACATTAAGGAACATGCTTTAGTTTGAATCTGGCTCCGTTTTGCAAATTTGCTGAAAAAAAATGTTTGATGCATGGATCCAGAAAATGTTACGCCAACTAAAATGTTGCTTTAGTAGCAATTCGATAACTTCCGTACAAAAATGTGTCAAAGTCAGGAAATGTAACATTCAGTGCAGATATTTTGTGTCTGTGGAAAATCTTTAAAGATGAATTAATAGTGCCACATTTGTAGTACACCTGGAAAAAAAGCGTCTACTGCTTGTATGTTTGAATTTGTGTTTCAGCAATACAGCTAAAAATGACTGAAGAAAGTTTATTTCTTTGGGGTTACATTTTGCTTGACTATCCAGTGTTATGTTTTTGCTTTAACATTTGAAGGGCCTGAGAGGGCTAGCGCTAACTCTCAGAGCTATGCAATCGTTTCAACCAAATGCTGAGAACCCTGGGGAAGAGACTTCCATTGTGGATGTTTAAAAAAAAAAATAAAAAAAAAAATCTTATAACTGAATGGATGAAAGTCAAATCAGAATTCAGTTAAACAGAAATGCTTCTGAAAATTGTCCTTACTGGGATATTCTTAAATAGATGTTCGATTTGCATTTTCTAGTTTGGGATAAGCTGTACAGATCTAGAGTTTGTGAAGGAAGGAGCCATGTGACAGTCCCACTGTGGTCCAACAGGGGGCGTGGTTTAGTCAGCAAAAAAAAAAAAAAAACCTGAATCATGAATTGTAACATTGAAGACCTATACGTGAAGAAATGCCACTTTTATTGTGTGTGTTTCGAGACCAAGAGTATGCCTACTGGTTTAGGTTTGATAACTGGTAACATTGGTTACAGTGATGTAATATGTTTTTATTTGTCCTCTGTCGAATGCTGTACAGGAAGCTGCTTTGTCAGCATGTCAAGAAATGATTGGGACTGATTTCATTTATTTTCTTTTTTCTTTTTCTTTTTCTTACGTCCTGTACAGTTCACTTTTTTCAAATAAAATTGCTTGTGTCAATGCATTCTGTTTTGTTTGTTGTTTGCTGTGAATATGGCATGTGTAGTTTTATCTGTACGTAACACATTTATATTTTAACAATCGGACTCCTCCTTAAAGGCTAATTTTTTGTTTGAGACATTTCTGTAATCCTCAAATCAGATGAAAAGATAAAAGATACCGTCGTCATTTTTCTTCATCATCAGATACACTGCAAACGCATACAACAACCAGCCACAAAATTAAAACTCCACACGGATGCAACCGTCTGCCGCAACTGGGGGATGAGGGGAAGGAAAAAAGAACAAGGAAACTACAAACGAGTACAAATATGGCAGTTGGACTGGTACTTATATGGCACTTTTCTGCTCTCATTGACCACTCAAAAGACTTAACACTACAAACCTCATTCACCCAGTCACACATGCATCCAGACAAGCAATATTCACACACACTACACAGATGCAGTGCAGGGTTATTCTCCTGAACTACCACACTGAAATGACTGATTTGTTTGATTTTTTTTTTCTGTTCAGCTAAGTATGTAGACTTTGAGAACTCCCAATCATAGTAAATGATAGAGAACTGACAACATTTTATATAAGAAAATTCCAAATAGTCTAAACAATAAAAACTCTCATTTGGTTTGAACCCAGCGGTGTAGCAATAGAGAATCAGAGATGAGCAAAAACTGCTGATTATTATTATTATTTATTTATTTAATTAATGTGTGTGGTTCTAGTTTGATTAAAGCTGTGGTGCCCTAGTGTTTAAAAGGGAAACTATATATTTGTAACTGACTTTAAAAGGTTTATGTCTCCTGTAGGAATAAATAGTCTTAGGCGTAAATGTGTTATCTTGAAGATAGACTTTTCAGTGCTGACATTTTGGGGGAAATTTACTCTCCAGGATAAGGAGAAGAAAATGGATAGCTGGATTGAAAATTCAGAATGTGGGTTTGGAATATTTCTACATTGTGATACTGCTACTTTTTTAGAAACTTAAAAAAAAACTTCCTCTGTTTGAATATTCTAGCATAAAAAGCTGAACCACTATTACTCATAGTATAAATGATGAGTAAGAGTTCTAAAACAGCTATTTTAGAACTCATAAGGATAAAAGGAAATAATGGTGCCCAAAGAAGCCATTTTCTTGCAATGTTGATTGGAAGCCAGTAGGTGTCACCATTTGATCAAACAAAAGGTGGCCCTTCTTTTATATACAGTTTACAACCTTAGCTCTCAGTGACCATTGTCATCACCATCTTCAATCCCAGTCTAGTTTAGGTATAGGTAGCTGGTGGTGCATGAGTACTTCATGGGTTTTAAAGGTTCAAGATTAGCTCTTGTCTGTCCACTTGTTCTTAGACTGTGCACAATGCAGGGCACTGTATTAGTGTTTTAATAGCCATGAAAATGCACAGGTATCTACCTCGTGTTTACAGGAAAATGAAGCATATGATATGTACTTGTGTGACGCATCCCACATTGTTTTGCAGACAGATCCATTCTGATGGCAGCAGGAGGGAGAAAAGACAGATGGAGGGTGTGTGCGCACACGTGTGTGTGCATGTGTGTCCTTAAGTGTGAATGCATGTGTTTGTGTGCTTTTGCCAATGTATGTCTATGTATAGCACAACACAGATGTTGCAGGAACACTGCTGTTGGTGGTTATTCCCCTAATGAAGAATGCAATAGTGACATTAAGAAGGCAATAATCCTGAGGAAGAGGTCAGCTTTTTCCAGTCAAACAATTTGTCTCAAAAAAGATAAAGTTGAAAAATGACTACATCTACATCAGCTGTGCTTGTAAGCATAAAGGAACCAAACAAAAAAGAATACAATAGAATCAGACACAATAGGATGCTCTGCAATCTGCTAAGGCAAAAAAAATAAAAATTAAAAATAAAATAAAAAATTATAATTTGCTTGTGTCTTTGTCTTCCCTTACCATACAGTTCCATAGGCGTAACATGTTATGGATGTAATCTCTAAGAGGATTCGCCCTGCTTGGTATCATGGTACATGTTAATTTCTGCTCTTTATGTTCCTTATTGAAACAGACCCTAGATCTCCCAGACCTGAAAGCCAGTCGGCCAGCCAACCGTCATCAATTCACCCCTAATCTCTACCCCCACTCTTTCTATAGCTAATCCGTTGTGTTGGTCATTGTCATCTGATCGTGTGTGACCTTGGCTGCTCGATTTGCTGCTGCCTGGTAGCATAACGTTAACAACTGCTGTCCATCCACAGCCAGATATTAGTGGAAGAAAGTGATGATTCCTATTTCTCATCTAACCTGAAAGGAGAACATGACTAAAAATTGGGTAGATATACTGTATGTGTGTTGAAGGTGGAGCATGATAGCAGGCCGATCGGGTTACCAATCTTCTTTCATAGAATGAAATTGTAAGCTAATTAAGAATAATCCAGTTCAGATATCTGATAATTACATATGTTTTAACTCAATCATATTTTGAGCACAGCAATAAAATTGTTATTAAAACTGGTATTTAAAGCTTGGTATTGGATAATGAAAAAGAAAGAGGAAGAAAAGAACTGCAGCATGATAATTAGATTACTCTTTTTTTTTTAAACTTCAAATAGGCCCTTTCAAAAAAATCTTGCAGAAGATGCACATTTGAGCCATCAGTTGGCTTCCTTTAACATGTAAAGCAGAGAAGATGTGATTTGAAGTTTTAGGAATAATGCATGTGAAAAAAAAGATTCAGGTTTACTCAGTACTGAACTGAAGGCGTCATGGTCACTGCTGTGACTGTTCTTTAAACAGAAGCAAGTAAAATCCGTCTTTGTTCCACAGAAATGTGGCACACTATGCATAACAGCTGTACATGAACCTCAACACAGCTTAGCAAATGTGACATGACAAGCAGCGATGGTGTGATCATTACTGGATAACTCACTCTATAACCATGAAACTTATGGCCATAAAAATCCCACCCACACCTCTGAGCTCGCCCCGTGGCTGTTTTCACTCGTCTGGATACTTCTCATTGCAGCAGGGACAAAAGACTGCAATCATAATCATCATGTCTTCATTTTCTTTCAGAACGGCCACTGCAACCTCCGCCATCAGAGTACTCCCGGATTTTCCCGCCTGTGTCCCCACCCACACCTCACACTCCCCTCACACCCTCCAGGCCCCTGGTCGATCTGTCTATCTGCCCCTGCAGTGACTCCTCATTAACACATGAATAAAGACGAGGAAGGGCCTGCTAAGGCTTGGACGCCAACAGACGGCAGCAGATTTGCAATTCAAACCTCTGACCATCTCCTCTCCCACCCCCTCCTCATCCTTCACATTCTGTAACCTATGCTAGGGCTGGAACTGTCACCAGCATGACTGAGGATGCATGTGTGAAAGGTGCAACAGACAGTGTAGTTCCATGCTTATGCATGCTTTAGTATTAATAGGCAGAGTGCAAATACATGTTGACGAGAGAGAACTAATACCTTCTAATTAAAATAAGGTAAAGTACAAGGGAGTATCAGCTTTTAAATGGGAACAATAGCATGGAGTAATATTTGCCTTACAAATATGAAACATTTCAAAGGCCTTAATATACAAGAGAATAACTCAAAACGTAGATAAAGAAATTTTTTATTTAAAACACATTCTAATTTTCACAACTACGAAACATTTAACTACAGCTAAAAAACTAAACAAGGTTTAATTCACACTTTCAAATATAAACCCCTAAACTGGAGTCCCCTCCTTAAAATTTTTGTGACTATCTTGCACAGTGGCAGTGCTGTCATGTTGACTTATACGAGTATACACCTACCAATTTGCAGTAGCTGTTACACTCCCAAGGTGATAGATAAAGATGCTCCAGGGAGTTACAAATCAAAAAGTGTGTGGCACAGTGGCATTACATGGGAAGGGTGTCTTCCTACTTCCCTCCACCACTCCTCCCAGTACTGCCACGCAGAATTCATGAGTTGGATCACACCCATATTTAAACTCAGCCTTCATTTACGTCCAAGGTAGACGCCTGTAAGATATTTTAAGTCTGACTTGCAAGGTTGTGACTTGAGCTCTTTGACAAAATGTGTTCAATGACAGACATATCTACACAAGAACTCAAAACCGCTTCTTATCATTACATCAAGTAAAAGTAACCGATTTAATTGTTCACAAACAAGTAAATTAATAAAACTAGTAACCTAGTAACTTTTAATGGAATTCAAATAAATGTTTGTATAGTTTACTTACAGTCTGCATATGAATCCATATTTTAGTGGTTTGTTTAATAAATAATAAATATGTTTATTTCCAACGGAGGAATAATAATAATAATAATAATGCTAATAATAATAATAATAATAATAATGTATGATTTAAACAGATTGACGGTTACGTCTCCACGTGATTTGACAGAAAATGATAATAATTTGCCGGTTCCAAATACGTCATTTCCGATTTCCCCTCCAATACTTCCTCCATGTGCCGACAATATGGCAGCGTCCATAGCGATTCATCTGGAGTTTGGGTAAGCGACTATCGAGTGTGTGTGTTCGTCTCTGAGTTACACAGACAGAGCCTCGCTGTTAGCTTAAGACGGTTATCGTGTGAACAGGGAGAAAACGCTCTCAGCTGCACAACTGAAAACTGCTATAGCGGAAAGTCCTGCCAGCCGACTGCCTCCTCCACTGCTTGATACTCGTTTACTCAGCACGGAGTCTTTCCCAACGTTGTACCAAAAAGTGATTTCCGGTATTCCGAAAAAAAAAGTTTGCTGGAATTTAAATGGTTATGGATGACTTTTTGCCTATAATCTGTCAAAAAAATATGTCAATATGACATATCGTTCATGAATGATATCAATTAATCATGAGCTTGAGAGAGCGTTTCTGCCACAAGGACGAAGCTGCAGTCAGTTTTTTTTAAAAAAAAAAAACTTCAATTGAACCTTTTTTTTTAAAATCCGGGTAGAAAGTCTCATTGAAATTAAAATGTATTATTTTTTAAGATGAATCTGGCCAAGAGGGCAGCAGACATCGC